CAATATTGATGCTACTCACTCAGAGCCTGTCTGCACGTGGAGCTATTTCCGAAAAGCTATTTCTGATTAACTATTCCAGAATAATTTCATGTGTGGATGCCCTTGTTCTATAATAAGCATGTCCACACTTAGAGTTAATCTAGAAGAGCTATTTCACTTTAAATTTGCACCCTGATTAAGATCAATGTTCATGTGTATACGGGCCCTATTCCAAAGCATCTTATCAATACTAACTACCTAATGATAGACCAAGTGCTTCAGGTAATGGTCAAACACTTCAACTGTCTTATTTTTCTTTGCTAATAAGAATAAAAGGCTATTGCTTCTGACATCTAAGGAATTCAAATACATTTCATAGAATCATAGAAAATTAGTATTAGGAGTGACCTCAAGTCATCTAGTCCAAACCCCTGCTCAAAGCAGGACCATCCCCAACTAGATCATTACAGCCAGGGCTTTGTTGAGCTGGGCCTTAGCAACATCCAAGAATGGCAATTCCACCACCCTGTCGGTAACCTGTTCCAGTGCTTTGCCACTAGTGAGAAAGTTTTTCCTAATATCCAACCTAAACCCCCAATGCTGGAACTTGAGACCATTGCTCCTTGTTCTGGCAGCAAGCATTTGCAAACATTTTGCTAGTATCAAAGTATTCTGTGTCAAGCCAAGGTCATAGATCTAGTGGTGGAACTGAGAACAGGACCTAGTTTCCCCAAGCCCCGGTCTACAAAACTAGCCATTAGAGAAAAATGCCTCTCAGCTATGAAGGAGAAGACAAAATAGCAGGTGAGACTTAGAGATACCAAGGTTATATTACAGTTATATGAGCATCTCCTTATTCATAAGCACCTGCTAAAGACAAAGTAAAAAAGGAAGGCAGAGAATAGCCTCTTTGACCTTGCCAGTCATCAGGAACAAAATTGTATTTTTTTGCCCTGGGAGTAAGAGAGTCCCCAGAGATACAAAGCAGCTGTTCCAAAGTAACTGCCACATCTCCATGGTTCACACTTCATTTCGGAGCTCCATTATTTTGACTATCTGATGTTAAATTTTTCAGTTTTTATTTAGAACAAAAGAGCAGAATTTTGGAATGTCTGCAATTTAGTCACCATAAACTCATTACCGTATGAAAAAATCATCACCTACACGTTCAGAAGATTGAGGATGTTTACTGAACTGAAAGACATCCCCATTAATGGCTCACTCTTACGTGAAGAGGCTGAATGGAAACTGAATTCCTTTCAGCATTTTCCAACAAAACACGTTTGCCTTCCAGGAAACTTTCAAAATGAACAGTGTGTAATTTAAACCAACCTGGATCCCAAAAGAAACCTATAAAAGAATGAAATGCAACAAATCAAGACTTTCCATCTAGGACATATTTACAGAGCATTCCCTTCATGGCTGCTTGTTTCATAAGAATATTTAGGACTGGTAAGGAACTAGTTTGGCAACACCAGAGTCCCCTATTAGGAAGTCAGCACAGACATCAAAATTGCATACTTAGGGTTCCTACAGATGTGCTCCGATGTATTCTAATTAGAACACATCAGAGCAGACTCGATTAATCAAGTCTGCTGGAGCGTTCTAATTAAAATGCTCCAGCATGTCTCAGCATCATGCGTATTAGAGAGCCCCTTGCATTTCAAAATGGCTGCTAGGGTGCTTTAACTAAAACACATCAAATGAGCTTTAGTTAAAGGGCCCTCATGGCCATTTTGAAATCTGGGGAGCTTAATACACGTGACACTGAGGTGTTTTAATTAAAGTGGCTATCTGGGAACCACTCTAATTAAAATACTGCCCCCCACAACCCTGGAGCACGTCTATAGGCACCTTAGTGCCATTCCTCCCATGACCTTAATTCTGACCCAGAGGGCCCATTTCTAGGAAGGAGAGGCTATTTTAGTAATTAGGTCTACTAAGTCTTTGCTCTGCCTTCAGGGAATGGAGATAAGTTCCAGTTAGGATTTTCATGATACACACACACATCTGCTCTAGGGAATGAATAGAAGCCAACAGCTCACTTCAAAAAAAAGGCCAACAAATCGTTATCAGATAACCATGACTTTGGTCACAAGTGAGTTGAGTAGATTTGAGTGTGAACTTCGAGGTATTTATTTTCAGTTTTTTCTCAAGTTTTGCTTTTCTATAAAACAAGAAATTCACTTTTAAAGCAAAGCAAGAGAAACTAGCCTAGACATATGGACCTCTGAGCACAAGTTCCATCCCTAGCACTGAATGCCTTAGTCCAGCAAGTGACAGCAGAGCAGAGAAAGGGAAGTCAGAGGGTGCCAAAAATCCTTTGTATCCCTGGAACTGCTACCTGACAATCAAAAGTGACTGTGTGTTTCAGATGTTTCTATAGCAACCATCCTCATGGTATTTGAGTAGTAGTGCACATCCAATTTGTCTTTTAATGAAGTTGCTAAGAGTTCTGGGTTTCTGCAGTACTTATATGTTACGCCATTCTAATATATTGAGCAGCTTTTAAAACAGAACATAGATTTCTATTTGTATGTCACATTTCAGCCAAGGGGTAAAAATCTCTGTAGATCATCTACACAGATTGTTTTGTAAAAATCCATGCTAAATCATCATATTTTCCAAACAGCGTAGGAATTAACCAGCCTTTCTCAGCACAGGATGACTCAGCGGGTGAGTCTGACCAGACAGAGATAGAAAAACGGAAGGGACTGAGGTTGTTTGAAAAAAAAAATCTCCAGACATGTGCCTCAAGTACAGGAAAAGAGAGGCAGCTGGGCACCTCTACATATAGGAAACAAATCGCCGTATGGGGTCAGTGCCTTTCATTTTCTTCTGGAGTCCAGTGTGTTGTTTCATCCAGCTCCAAGTAGGTTCATCAGGGGGAAAAAAGCCAGGAAGCTCCAGATTCTCTAGCTAGCCATGGACACAGGACAGAGCAGGCAAGGGACCATTCCCATCCAAGAATCATATCAGAACATATCATGCCCTGGCCTCTCTGGTCATCCTGAACTATCTTCAGCATGACCCTCGCCATCCCTAACAAGGCCCCTGGGCTAAGATGCTATGGGCAGGAAGTTTAGGAGACTACACCTGCTGGGGACTCTCCCACAGACGCTAAACTACAGGATGCTTCCACAGCCTTCACCACCTCCTGGGCCTCGATGAAGAGCAGAGCAGGAGCAAAGAGAGCTGAGTGGGAACAAGAATTCAGTCACTGCTATCCTTTTTTATAAAGACTTTGGTAATAGGCAGAGATCCATGAGCATCCCTACGGCTCTCCAGAGAATCCAAAGAATCTCAGATTTTCCACCTCCATCCCCATGCAGTTTAATTCTATCATAAACACAGCTGGGAGCCAATCAAGAAACACACTGCAATGTACTAACCAAGTAACAAATAAACACTATGAAGTTCCTTGGTCAGGAATGCAAACAGCCCACACTTCTAGATCCCCACTTCCTCTGGTCTGTTTACTCTAGCAGATGCCATATAAGTCCTTTTTCTGTGCATACCGATATTGCTCAGTCACAGAGCAACTCCACAGGCTGAGGAAACACTAAGTGCTCCCAATAGCATCTCATATAAACAGAGTCCATTTCCATATACATAAGGCATCATTCAGACCACGTTTCCTATGACCAGCTTTGTATCTGAAGACACCTGGGGCTGGTGCCACGTGAGAACTTCACAAACACAGGCCAATGCCCTCTCTCAGCTGTTATTTGCCTCAAGGCAGAAATGTTCACAAAGGTCTCACTTTAGTGTCCTCCATTTCTGCATGCATAGTTGTGCACGCTGCCTGGTGCGTGCAAATCCTGAGTGCACTCAAGTCTGCCTTTGGGTTTGCCTATGTAAAGTGGTTTTATGTGCAAATCTGAACAACTAAGTCCACAAGTGTTAGAGCATGAAAGCTTGCACATATATGTAATCCAAACACATGCAAATTTGCACATGCACAAATGGAGGGCATGTTTTGAAAACCTGGCCCTGAATATATCAATCAAGGGAAAGCATAATACAACAGTAAATAAGCAATGAGAGCAAAAGGGCAAGATTAAGCCTCCGAGCCTTCATCTGTGAAGTGACAGCCCTTAGGCAGGTGAGATTAAGGGACCCAGAATTACCCTGAGTGGTGTGAGTGGAACTAGATCATTTTATCTGCCAAGGTAGTTGCACCAGCTGTTTCTGCAATCTTTTTACTTTCTTCCTTCACAACCCAATTGGGGACCTTCCTTTAGAGATCAGAGTTAGCTGCTTCTTTTACATTTTGTGTCTATAACTATATGTGATGTTTGGGGAAGATGAAGACTGCTATCCCTGGAGACTGGCTTCTGTTTTAAATACAGAACAGAACGACAAAGGCAGAGGCAGTGCAAGCTCCCCCAGGCTGCTGGCTTTTCTTTGCACAGTGCCCTGGCCCTGACCCGGATGGATGAGAAGTTCAGTCTGTAAAGCCCTTTCATGCCTTGGCTCCCGTGCTGAGACTGCCAACAAGGGATCCAATTAGCACCAATGGCAGGGGTGCGTTTTGCAGTAACACCTGTCTACTGGGAGCTGGGCCGAGAGGACCAAGTGCATTTCAAGCAAGCTGCCAAACAGCTGTCATATGGTAAAGGATTTTAATCGCTACTGACCTGGGCAGATTCAAACAAGAGATCTAGCAATGAAAGACTTGGTGTCACATTACCAGTCCCCTGAGTTACCCAGTGCCCCAGAATACTGATACAATTTTGTCTGAACACAGCTTTTATGAAGTGGCTAGAACAGCAGTTGGTAAACAGCAGAGACGCTTAAGCAGGAAAGCATTCCACGACTGGGAAGTCATCCGGTGGATGCTACCAGTACCACTGCAGTAATCACTAGCCCACCAGTGTCCGGCTGCACCTAGAAACAGGCATTTCTGCTGCTTGGACTGAAAGTGTTCAGCTTGGCAATGTGGGAGGGCAGAAGTGACTGCACAGTAAGCACTCCAGGAACAAAGCGGGCACCTGGAGAAATTCTTTGCTAAATATTACCTTGAGGAGAAGTGGATATTTGCAAATCCTCTGAATTGGAGTCAGCAGATAACCCTCCAGTGGAATGTCAGTTGTCTTTCTGCCTCCCAAGAGCATGCAGCTCTGCAACCAGAAAGGAAAAGACATGTTACCTTTGGCCCAAAGCTCCCATGCGCTCTTTGACAATGATTTTGTATCTCCATAGCACTGTCTACTCATAAGGGCCTCAAATCACTTTCAAACAATATTGTACAGGAAACAGAAACTGTTTCCCCCATTACTGAAAGGCAGCAACTGGCTAACAAAGACTGCGACATTCTACAATAACCACAAATGAATACGAGTATTCATCCCTATGAAAACTGCATGTGAAAATCTAGGGAGGCAGGCTGCCATTCCCAAACAGCAGTCAGCTGTGCAGGACAAGTCAGAGCTGGGTGCCACAAGGTTGTGGAATCTTTTATTTATTTGTTCAAGACCTTTTATTTCTGCATGAACAGCACCCAGGGTCCATGCTTGGGTCTCTTAGGCACAACCACAGAACAGACAGCAAACAGTAACAGCTCTAATAGAGAAGCAGGAGTGCATAACTCGACCCAGGAGCCCCTACTGTGATGCCTTTTTAATTTTTCCCTTTATCCTATTTTCTTTTTCTTCTCAAACTTTTTATCTTTTCCTTTCTTTCTCTCAGTCTCTACATCCTTATTTGGTTGCATCTACTGAAAAAAGAAAATATCTTTGTTATTTAAAGTTCAGTGAGGTGTTGGAGCTTGGCTTATTCTGGAAACCGGGGACAGTTGTCACCTGCTATATTTGAATCTTGAAAACAGGGGACAGACCCAACCAGCGTTCTGCAAGCCTGGGGGGGGGGGGGGGGGAAAAGCACTGGAGATGCACCTACCAATTCCAGTGAGGAATTTAGGATTGCAAGTCCTATTAGAGGCTCTGAGCTCTCCAGGTGTCAGTGGGAGATGAGTCACTGTGGAGTCAGGTTGCGTGGAACAGAAGTGCTACATTGCCTGCAGTTCAGGAAATGTCATGAAGATATGAAGAGAAGGTGTGCAGTCACCCACAGGGACCCTATTAACTTATTATTCCACTTACCTAGTTCCCATATTAATATTAATGATCACCTATATAAGTTTTCCAACACTGAGTCACAACAATATTACATACATAGCATTAAAATAAAATGGACTCGCTAGGAATTGCATGAGCTGTGTCAATGTTGGAGTTATAAAGTTTTCACAGGACAGGAAATCAAAGTGAAATTAGAACAAATTTGTCCCCTGCCTCCCCCACAGTCTCACAGCCCAAATATCTGAACCCATTTTTTGGTTTTAGGGTACTCCACGGCTTCCAGACAGAGAAGTGTCCAGGGACATTTCTGTACCCAGGCCAGGCGCCCCCAACTCAGTTTTGATCACATGTGATTAAGGAAGGTGATAATATAAACACTCCACAAAATACAAACTATGCTGAAATATAAGCTATGCTGACATTGGGCTGATACAGCAGGTAAGAAAACTAAAACCAAGTCCAACAATGTCCAGGAGCAAATGACATGCCACCTGCCTTACACACAAGCTTAGCTCCATGCTCATTTGGAAGGTCCCTCACATTCAGGCTACCCTCAATCAGGAAGCAAAATCATTTCACAGCCAAATTTGTCCCTAGTGTCTGGAAACAGTGGAGTGAAGGGATCCACAACAGTTTTGCTTCTCAAATTATCACCTGTGCCACATGAGTTTACCTTTTCCTGTTAATCTAAGTGAGCAAAAAATCTCAAGGCATATTTCAGCCAGAGCCCCTGACCGTCCCTTTGCCCCACTTCAGAAACGATGAGCTTCTGGGGAGCTGATTCTTCCACATTGACCTGCTGTGGACTTCTTGCACCTTCTTCTGAAGCATCTGGTACTGGCCACTGTCAGAGAGAGGTCCTGGAGTAAGATGGGATTCCCATCTAGCTCAGTCTGACAATTTTTCTGTTCCTACATTTTGATACACAACACTAAATCAGGGCAGGTTTGCTCCACAGCTCATCCCAGTTGCATTTGTAAGGGTCACAAACCCTCCCAGTAAACTGAAATCGCATTTCAGGTCTATAATGAAGCTTCAAAACCCAACCAAGTTTCACTGACTTGCCTACAGATTTCACTGAAACCATTCTTCCCTGTGAACTGTTGTTTCTAGTGGTCCAGAAACCTACTGAAAACTGGCAGATTTGGGGTGAAGACTTAACAATCTTTCTTTTTAAGCAGGTTTCACATCATTCATAAATCTCCCCGGTAGGCCCTACTGATACACAGTCTCCTGTAAAATAACCATTCTTCAAGCTATTTGGGATCAGTGATGCTGGCCACCAGCTCATAAGGTTCTCAATCCAGATTTCCACGTATCCCATCTGATTCCATCCCATTCCTCTTCACTGTCCCTTCCCCGCCTGACCACAGACCCAGAATTGCCCTTTCACTCTTGCTCACTTTTTCAGACACATTCCCCTATTTTCCTGAAGTAAGACCCTTTATTTCAGCAGCTGTGAGGGGGCACTCAGGCCAAATCTAGTCTGACAAGCAATGCTTTGTATTCTAATGCTGGCTTCATTGCTCAGTGACATTAAAAAAAATGGCATTCTGAGAAAGGAGGGGTGCTGGGAGGAATTGCCACAACCGAGCAAAGGTCAGGCATCAGCATTTTCCCATATTTACATCTATTTACACCTTCTGCCAACTGAAGCCAGCAGCACAGATAAAGCTTCCTGTTCTCCCAATGAATAGATGCAGAGAAAACTCTGGACAATGGTTAATATACCAAATAAAGTGCAGCTCATATTTAGGGGAGAGCTGCATCAATCAGTTAGAGCAGGGTTGTTCAACTCATGCGGGCTGGATCTGGACTCTGGTGTTTCTCATGGGGCGCATGACCCATGGCAGAGAGGTGAGTGGCAGCAACATTAACACCCCCATACTGACCATGCTGCCATGGCTTGCCACGCCGCCAAAGGTCATCTCTAACAGGGATCCCAATATGGAAAGTCAGTGGCAGAAAGACCAACACCACTGCTGCCTGCCCCATCACTGCTGAAAAGGGCCTCCAGGGTGGTCTCAACCCAGAAATTCGGCGGTGGGTCAAGTACCAACAGTATTAGCAGGGCCAGCACCTAGTGGTTGACACAGAGGCTCTGGGAGCCACAAGAGTTAATGCCACAGTCGCTTAGCCCACTGCAAAATATCCATTCCCACGGGCCACGGTATAACCATTTGTGGGTCGCTTGAGGACTGTTGGCCACCGTTTGGACAGGCCTGACATGTCTGAGCGGGACCTACTGGGGTTCTAGTCCCAATCTGTTACTAATGCGATAAGTGCCCCATGTCATCACCTGTGGGACAAATTCTTTTCATCCTGAACCATAACAAGCCTCCTCCCCCAAAATCACACCTACTAGGGCTGAGTTTAGTTCTGTGCCCCCAGTTCACCAAACAGAAAAACGGCATCATTAATTCCTACTGTACCAGAGGGCTGTGAGTCTTGAATGGTTTATGTCTGTAAAGTGCTTTCCGTTCCTGAGTTTGGGAACATGAATTATTGCAAGTACAGCACAAGATCAGACTGTTAAAGTGACGAATGCTACAGCAGGTGCTTACCAAGAGGAATGCTCTCACTGGGGGAATCTTGTTCAATTCCATGAGGAGCCTGAGAGCCTTCTCGTGGTTGCTGCAATACTCCTCGTACACGCAGAACTTGTCTTTCTGCAAGAAAAAAAAAAATGAATCCATATTGACCCAATGTGCAATTCCAGGGACGGACCTCGCTGGCATATTTTGTCTCCAACTGACACAAATTCTTTACAAAGGAGCATGAGCTTAGGCATAACTCTGTGGAGTACATTTAGCAGTGTGATCCTTTATAGTGATACTGTTGTCACTTTGGTAACAAAGGGATGTCTTCCTCTACTTCCTTACTTCTTTATTACAAATTTGTATGATCCTTCTGAGCAAAGAGGCCTCCAAATTGGAAACCAACCAGTATTTTTCTTAATGCATTACTGAAAGAGGCATACTCTTTGCTGATACAGAGTCTTGGGCTCATTTTTAGGTGGTCTGAGCTATCTGAGGAGCGTCCCCACTGGCTTCTTAGGCCAACAACTGAAAATCGCCTGCCTATGAGTAGGGGTCTACTTAACTCCAAGCAAGACAAAGCAATTTTCATAGCCTGGCTTTTGTGGGCATTTCCCAGCAGCCCTGCCCATTGGCGGAGAGGCATATGCCATATAATTGAATAGCAAATGCAACAGAAAGTAAATTATATCATATAATGTATTGTATTAGTATAAATATAAATATTAAATTTAAATCTAAATTTAAATGTATTATAAATATAAATGTGCATGCAATATGAATTGTAACATATCACCATAATTTATTATTATAATGTAGTGCTCTACAAAAAGTTTAGAAATGCTAATTGATGCTAACTTTAACAGAGACATGTTCACTTCACTGACTGGCGCCTTCAGTTACTCTGTCACTACCAGACAGTAACTCTCGCTCATGTGATCTATGGCTTCAGTGGCTGCTGCATTGTCTCTGTATTGTGGTAAGCACTGGGACATTTTAAAACAGTGTATTATATGAATAATATGCTTTTTTTTCTTTTAGGATGATTTCCTGGGAAACAGCAACCAATACAATATTTTCTAGTGATTGCAGACAATGCTGGTTTTTGCAGTTTCTGCAAATTAAATAGACCCCTAACTATGAGAGAGACAATCAGTTAGCTGGCTCATGTCAAGTATTTGGCCAAGCAACAGAAAAGCTATCAGTTTGTAATTCTAATACAGCAATGAGTCAACAGTATGTGATTGCTTCTAGGGATTCAATCAAGTACAAACAAATATTGCAGAAAAGGAAAAGAAGGGAAAGGGAACACAATAAAATGGAAAGCATCACACAGCACAAAGAATAAAGTCACACATGCAACATGCTACACACTCCTGCACCCTATGCCACACCCAAGAACACACCTACTGAAATCAGATCTATCTGTTAACATATAAGGGACAACTGGTAGCACCAGTTTTCTGCTTTATTTAAACCACCAGAATGAGAGTGACAGTAGAATTCTTCTTAATGAAAAGGATCCAACATGCTGAGCCCACTACAAGCAGCAATAACCTGGAGAATACCATGGACTATTTTACAACAACAACAAAAAGCAATAAAAGCTGTTTCTAGCATGAATGGATTGGATGGGAAGCAAGTTATTCCATTCATGACTGATGGGACAGACAGCAATGCTGTGAGATTTCAATACAATATCTAGTAGAATGAGAGGAGGTCAGAAAGAAGTACCAGGAGCTATATGTGCATTAGTCTCTAGTCCGGTAAAGCGATTCAGAATCTAAAGTGATGAAAAGATGCTTGGAAAAACTATAGTTTATCCTGTGCCTCTCTGACCATCTCACCATCAGGGTTTCTTTTGAAAACAGTAATTTACTTCCTACTTAAAGTTCTCTAAGTGTAGCACTGACACTTTTAAATTCTCACTTAGGATCTTGGCATAAATGTATTCCATCTGGATCCCCGTATCTGCTGTGAAGAAGATCAGTTCTGAGTACCCTCAGCTGAAGATTAGCTACCTGTAGAATTTACTTGGGTTTATTTAACATCACTATGGCAGTTCCAAGTGGAAACTGTAGCTGATTGAAACAATAAGGTAACAGATTTGGGGATATATATCTGCATCTACAATGAATTCTCACCCCTGGCCGCATCCACATGAGCATGGACTTTTGGTTTCCCAGGGACAACTAAGCAGCGGGACACCTTCTGCCACAGCTAGTTGTCTCTGGTGCCACGTGGCAGGTTACCCCAGGTGGGGTAGGGGAGGCTAGGGCCATCACTGTGATAGCCTGAGAAGCCTTTCCTGGGGTCCTGGGGCTGCACAGCGGCAATCCTGCTGCTCAGAGCCCGGCCTGCAGCTGGAGCATGGCTGCAGCTGGCCAGGCTCTGATTTTGAGTGACGTGCACCATCCCCATGTTCTGTTTTGTTTTGTCTTTTTGTGGGTTTTTTTGACCCCTGGATATCCAGGCATCAAAAAAACCCAACAACCCTCCTGCTCCCTTGCAGTATGGAAAACAGCTGAATGTGTGCTATGTGGCGCCACAGACGTGTCTGCAGTGCTACATACCACATGGTCACGCTTATCTGGACGCAGCCCCTAAGTCCACGTGGAAGACAAACTGTTTACATTGATTCAGTAGCATAACTTAGCATTCAGGTCAGTAGCTCAAAAGCTGGAGGTACATGCTCAGGAACTAAATAAAAAGCTGCTACGACTTTTGTCCCCTAATGGGCCACTGATATGATTGAGCACTCATTTTTGCTTTTATTTCTGAGCACAAAGCTAAGAGTAAATAGATTTCTGTCCAAACATAATAATCATGGCGTAAAGCAACAGCCGCAAAGAGACTAGGGCAAGATGCTAGAAAGCAGATGCTCAGGATCTGTACTCCTCAGCTACACATCTGGATTTACAGCTGCAAGGCTCACGTCAGTATTTGACTTTAATGCTGAGAAACTAGATAGAAACAGAGGCACCTGCCCAACAGATGCAGGAAAAGTCAGGGCCGAGTGCACACCACAGCAGGACGGTGGCAACTGGGGTTGTTCCTGCCTACAGAGTGGCAGATGCAGACGTGCGAGTTGCTCTCATATCTGCGCCCCTCAGTGCTCCTCAGCTCCCTGGATGCACGCAAGCGGCACGCTTGAAAACCACCTTCCTAAAAATAGCAGCCATTAACACGACAGCATCCATTCAAGCTCAGGAGAGGAGCTTGCATTAATGCAACACGACCGAATGACATTGCTGAGGTCTCTGACTACAGCTCTGTGCTTGACGTTTTGGGAGGTTATATTTAGATCATGACAAAATCCCCTTGCTATACTCAACTCGCTACAATAATTATACATACAAACCAGAGTGCTTTCATCAAGTCATTTCCAGCTGTCCTTCATGTATAAAACCCACAAATATGAGAGCTATGCTTTAATTTATTCAAGTGTCTGAAGGGTTTAATTTCCTCTCTGGGTGACACGGAGCGTTTTTTCCCCTCCACGAGGAAATTGGCAGTTACATAATTACAGATGTCAGCGCTGGGATCCTGAGCCCATGGTTACTACAACCTTAAAGGACAATTATGGTCAGGCAAGCGACTGTGTAAAAATGGCACCTTCTTACTCAGCACATCTGCTGAATCCAGAATCAGACCTGATGACTTTGGTGCTAGAAATAATTTATAACAGCTCTGAATTTGAACCCTCCAAAAACTCTGTTTTCCCACTTGTTCTCTCTGCTCTGCATGAAGTCCTAGGAAGAGTTGGGCAATCTGGGGTCAAGCAAAACTGTTCATGAACGGGTGCCATATTTGGCAAACTGTTTTGACTGAAAATAAGTCAATAAATAACATTACATATTCTGTTTTGACATTTTAAAATGAAACATTTCAAGTTTTCATTACAAAATCTTTCTGGAATAAATGGCTTAAGCTAAAAGGCTTGTTTGTTTGTTTGTTTCAAATGAAATATTTCATTTTGGACTGAACAAAATATTTCAGTTGACCCTAAGCAAACCAAAAAAAAAAAAAAAAAAAAA